AATTCTGTACTATGTATGTAGTGCACCCCTGAACTCTGCAATCTTTGTGTAAACCCCCCCCCCCCCTCTGCACTTTGTAGGTAATGTATTCCTGGTATTTAATACTCTCCCACTGTTGAGAACACCCACTATTTCTTATTTATTTCAGGTACTTATATAGTGCTATCAATTTACACAGCACTTTACATATATATTGTACATTCACATCAGTCCCTAACCCTCAAGGAGTGTACAATCTAAGATCCCTAACTCACATTCATACATACACATACTAGGGACAATTTAGACAGGAGCCAATTAACCTATCAGCATGTCTTTGGAGTGTAGGAGGAAACCCAGACAGGCACAACATGCAAACTCCAGGCAGGTGGTGCCGTGGTTGGGATTTGAACCAATGACCCTATTACTACCAGGCAGAAGTGCTAACCATTTAGCCACTGTGCTGCCCACATGCAGTTTGCTGCAGTTTGGAGGGTATGATGTGATACAAATCATCGAAAAAAAAGCACTTTCACTGTTACAAGTGAAAGGAAATGCAGATATTGCCGTTCGATCAACATAAATGCCTATGTACTTACATGAGTCAATAAGAGTGTGATACAGAAGATTTTGTTTCCCCTGAAAGTGATGTGGGAGTAATGAAAGTGTATTTACAACTATTTTTTTTTTTTAGAGGATAGATGAAATAGAATCTCAGTCACATGTTTATTGTTGGGGAAATCAATAGGTACATCTATTCTGATGACAAGTTTTTAATATAGGATTTTAATATTGGATATTCAATATAGGATTTTGAGAAACTTCATCTCATTTACATCACTACTTTTAAATTCCAATAAACACCATTATTATGCCTTTATTTCATATGACTTTTAAGTATGTGATTCCCAGCCATATATTTGCTGAGGCCAATTTTCTACTTTTGGCATATGTTTTATTTATTTCAGGTACTTATATAGTGCCATCAGTTTACGTGGCGCTTTACATATATATTGTACATTCACATCAGTCCCTAACCCTCAAGGGGCGTACAATCTAAGGTCCCTAACTCACATTTATACATACACATACTAGGGCCAATTTAGACAGGGTCTAATTTACCTACCAGCATGTCTTTGGAGTGTGGGAGAAAACCGGAGTACCCGGAGGAAACCCACACAGGCACAGAGAGAACATGCAAACTCCAGGCAGGTGGTGCTGTGGTTGGGATTCGAACCAGCGACCCGAGTACTGCCAGGCGGAAGTGCTAACCATTTAGCATGTAAGCATATTTCATATTGTCATATTCCTTCCACAAATGTGTAGATGTGGCATCTGTCTGAAATGTTGTATGATGGTCCCTTATTGAGTTGGTACATAACACCTAACTGTACAATTGTATTAAATGTTTCTACTGTACTTATTTAGTGTACCTATTAGCTTTAAATATTTGATTGGGAGTCCATTGATATTCATTTTGACTAATATTTAAAATATCTATGAACTGACTGCTATTTGCATGGGGGATCCTTGAGAGCAGTACTGTCTTAAATTTCATGGCTGTTGTTGGTGATTACAACTTTTACAGGAATAAAGGAATGTTCTCCTATTCCATTTGCCATTTATTAACAAATATATGAAATGGAGACAACTAGCTATGTACCTGGTGACTCTTCTATTTACTTTGTTTCTTTATTTCAGTAACATGAATGTCAGAACATTGCACATTTAGATCTCTTTGGTAATTGTTTCCTTTAGGTCATGCAAAACAGTACATGCCTGTGCCACATTAAGAGTAGGAAGAAGTACTAGTGTTGGTGATCCCTATGGGCAAGACAGATCTCTCTTCTGATTGAATGCTGTGAGAAATACCTTAGTAGGTTAAAGCTCCTTAATTAGCCATTATGTATATACCAGAGCCTATAGTGGGTGTGTTTGGAAATTTTTATTTGGGGTGGAGAGGTTTTATGCACTACAGCCATGCCTGTATTGAAAAATTAAGCAATACGACTACGATCATACGCTGTGTTCTTTATATTTAATTAAATGCTTTAAATGAACCATTTACCAACTTAAAACATTGCATGTGAAACTAACGTCAAGTTGTACCACTATAGATGTGTATGTGAGCTGCTTTGGATTACCTTGTAATGGTTGTGTGCATTAGACACATGAAAGCTGTAGGCATCTTGTTCAGGTCTCAGCCATTTTTGTCATGAGAAGAGGCATAGCTAATGATCTCTCTCCCTCCTTTCCTCCTGAAATTCATGCAATTCATAACCTTACCTTTTAACACACTTCAAAGGAACCTGTTATCTCAACTTGGGGACAGCAGATACCAGCACACAGGTCAGAGCTGTAAATAGCTAATTGAGCTCTGGCAGAATGTCTGTTAGTTTCTACTGACCATAAAAACAAGATTAACACTTCCCTCTGACCCTTCTGACTGAATCCTTCAGTTCTGTCACCCATGGTTTGTAGGGCAATTAAAGCACTAGAAACACATAGCATGCCATAAAATGTATACCCAGAAACCAGTCAGGCATGGGGGGACCTCTCTGAGACCTCTGCCCAATTCACAACTTAATAAAATCCATGCACTATTCATAAAATCCAACAGGACCAAGACACATTAATATTAAGTAATATTTGAATGAGGGATATCATACCAAACAAATCAAGGTCATACATGACTCAGCTAGCACATACAAAAGGGGAGATAGCAGTCTCCTACCTCCCGTGTGACAGGTCTATCCAAAATACTCTGTGTTTGGTATCCCTGAACACGAAATATAATGTTGAACAATAATCTACCCGTTTCTGGATTGCAACCTGTACATAGTGGAAGATACTAGTATTAGTTTTACCACATCCCCGCAGCCCTATAGCAGATATACTGCTACAGGGCGGCAGGGGTGTGCAAAATCACATATATATATATATACGTGATTTTCCATTTCTGGGTAGGGGACATGCACGACCTACTCACGCCCTACCCATGCCACCATTCGCGGCTGCCAATCACCGGGTCCCAGCCAGTGATTACCCGCTGGCGCCCAGTGATTACCGAGGATCTCCCGTGGGGAGGAGGGCTGCTTTGTTTACTAACAGTCCTTCTCCCTGTCAGCTTGGACAGCACAGCCATCCAGAGCAGTGTGATTACAGTAAAGCCCACACACACCACCACCTAGTAAAACACTCCCAGCACACAGTTAACCCTTTGATTGCCCCTCATGTTAACTCCTTTCTGCCCAGTGCCATTAGTACAGTGTCAGTGCTTTTTTTATGATCACTGTATTGGTGTCACTAGGGATGTCAGTGACACAAAGTCAGTTCCCCCCCCCCAGTGTCAGAATGCAGTCCCGCTATAAGTCGCTGATCGCCGCCATTACTAGTAGAAAAAATTCCAGTATCTATACCGCCATTTGTAAACGCTAGAACTTTCACATAAACAAATTAATTTACACGTATTGGGATTTTTTTTTTAGCAAAGACATGTAGCAGAATACATTTTGGCCTAAATTTATGACAAAATTTGATTTTTATTTACTGGACATGTTTGATAGCAAAAAGTCAAAAATATTGTGTTTTTTTTTTCAAAATTATCGGTCTTTTTTTTTATAGCCAAAAAATAAAAACTCACAGAAGATAAAATACCACCTAAAGAAAGCTCAATTTGTGGGGAAAAAAGGACGTACATTTCATTTGGGTGCAGCGTTGCATGATCATACAATTGTCAGTTAAAGTAAAGCAGCACCGTATTGCAAAAAATGGCCTGGTCAGGTAGGGGGGGATATCCTCAGGAAGACAAGTGGTTAAAACTGCGTGTAAGGGAGAGCCACAATACAATCATAAACACGTTGACACCTTCATGGTTACTCCTCAACTTCTTAATTGGTTAGATTGTCTCTGACAACAACCCCTTGACCAGGGGTGGACTGACAACTAATGGGGCCCCCGGGCAATAGGAGATCATGGGGCCCCTGTGTCCTTGCCCAAACTCAAAAAAGCCTATGAAAAAGGTACCAGGGGCATCTCATGGGGCCCCTTAGTGCCTGAGTTTCCAAATGGTCAGTCCACCCCTGCCCTTGACAGAGAAGAAGAGACTGTTCCAAATATTTTCAGCTCTTGCGTAACATCAACCAAGGAACATCTGTTAAGTTATGAGAGCCAATAACACCTTGCTCATTGACTGAACTCTGCTAAAACCAAGGACATTGCAAATATTCTTCATTTTCAACTTTATTTCTCTGTTTGTCTCTTTATTTCCTTATAACACCCTTTCTATATATTTTATTTGCTCCATTTTGACCTTTTCATTATTAAACTCTATTTTGAAAAGTGTTGAAATTGTCTCTAAGGCTTTCAATGCAAACTAAAAGAAGCCCTATCTCTTGAAGAGTGCTACTATATACCGTACATGGACCTAACTGTATGATAAACAGCTGAATATACCTATCTGTGGTGACAGTGTGTGTGCAGACATTTATTTTTAATATTTGTTCTTACTAATATTGTGAAAGGTTGATAGGCTCAAAGCTATCTGGTGGCAGTTAGGAGTTTAAAGGGTTAATTGCTAAGGAAACTTAACCCATTGACATTCAGTCTCAGGCTGCTGGCACCTAGTTTGTGGTCCCACAAGCTGGAAAATCTTTTTGCAGGGTGCAGCTGAGAGTGGCATTGTTACACAAGTGATAGTATGGTGTGAGACTGGCCAGTCCTTTGTCGCGAGTTGGTGGAATGGGCAGGGGTCAGGCACCACATTCATCACATCCTTATATCCAGCTTCTAACACCCTAACACACTCTCATGCAAATGTGCTCTAATATCATTAGATATTAGATATCAATAACCAAAAAGTAGTGCAGAGCTATATTACAAAGATAAATTGTGTATGTTATCATCACTCTTACAGTCCTTATATGCTTCACCAATTAACTACTTCCCGTCCAGCCCATGTATATAAACGGGAGCATTGCAGGAGTTGGTGGCCGTTTAAAACCGTCCTTACCACTTTCCTGCCTGTGCGCGCTCCCTCCGGACACAGCGGAACACCGATCGCTGAATAGGACCTCTGTTTGAGGTCCTGATCATGTGATAACAGATTGGCCAATCAGTGATTGGCCAATCAGTGATCACATGAATAGTAGTAAGCAAGATGTCACTTCTGACATCATTGCTTACTACTAGTGAAATCTGTGAATGATCACAGAGGTCACATGGTACAAGGCTATTTACAACAGCCTTGCACCATGTGACAAGCTGCGACCAATCACAGCTCACATAGTATTTCTCAATGGCTGCAAGAATGCAGCCAGAAAGAAGGAGAAATGTTTGCTTTTACAGCCTTTATGGGTGTAAAAGCAATCAGTGTAAAAAAAAAAAAATCTTCATCACCCCCCACAAGTAGTACAGTGTCACTATGGTGATACTGTACTGCTAGGGTGATATGATGTTAAAAAAACATAAATAATAATCTACAAAAAATAAAATAAAAATGTCAACAAAATTTTTTGAAAAATTATAATTTTTGGTTATAAACTAATTTTTTTTTTTTACTAAAAAGATAGATGAATACATTTTGGCCAAGATTTATGAAGAAAGATTATTTATTTGCAAAATTTCATAAGAAAAATACGTTTTTTTTTCAAAATGTTTGGAATTTTTCATTTATTTAGCAAAAAAATAAAAATCCCAGTGGTGAATAAATACCGCCAAAATAAAGTTTTATCTGTCTCAAAAAAATGCTAAAAATTTCTTATGGGTACAGTGTTGCATGACACTGTAATTGTCATTCAAATTGTGATAGCGCTGAAAGCTGAAAATTGGCCTGGACATGAAGGGGGTAAAAGTGTCCGGACTGGAAGTGGTTAACATCAATACTAAACATCTCTTAAAAATCTGTGTGCTTTTGCGGATCTCTTCTTGGTTGCCCAAACAGATCAAGATGTGCTCTCACTGGATCCTTTGACCCTACAATCATGTATGGTCATAACTCGCTTTTTTTTCTAAATCAGTCTCGACTGCTGAGGAACTGATCAATCAAGCTTTATAGTGTGGTGTATAAATGTAGTGCCTTGTATAATACACCCAAATCACCACCAGACTCAGCAGCAGTCTCAGAGGTTTGAATGTCCACACAAGGGAGGCTTTTGTAATTAAAACACCTAAAATAAGTTAAGTGCATATACAATTTTATTGAAAGGCAGTGGACGAAATGAATAGTCTAGCAACAGGGCTCTTTTAATTGTCAATATTGATTGCAGTATACTTCAAAGAAAAAGAGAGGTAGATTTCCAATTTAAAAAAGTATTCTGCTTTCCTGGCACCTGATTAGGATGACATACAGTTTTAGGACTGCTACCATCTGGGCTTCATTGTCATGGTCTGGCCATGGTTTTGTCATACAGGGTACATGGACTTTTTGCCTTCTCATGACAATGTTTCTGGTAATTGCTGAAGCTGTGTTCAAGTTACTGGATAAAAGCAAATGGCATGTCAATAACAACACAAAGGGAATTGTTAAAACTATAATACTGTGCATATATTGTTGATAAAATATTTATCGTGGTTAAACAAGAGGAAGAAGCGGTTCTAAAGACACCTGGTATTACTTTCATTGGCAGTTTCAGGGGAGGAATACAGGGCCTTAAAATACCACTCCATACCAAAAGTCCTGAATAAAACATGAACAATATCTCCTTGCTCTATGCATATTTATAGCATAATGTAGACTGTCAAGTCATGGTTATTTTTCCCATCACACATGAATGGTTTTTGTGACTGCCATATTAAATTAAATCCACACAAAAAATAAATAAATAAAATAAAGTGTGTGGGTTTTATCATCTAATGGTTTCCTATTGCACCTGGTAACCCCAACAAGGTTGTAGCCAGGGGCGGACTGACAACTCACGGGGCCCCCGAGCAATAGAGGATCATGGGGCCCCTGTGTCCTTGCCCAAACTCAAAAAAGCCTATGAAAGGTACCAGGAGCATCTCATGGGGCCCCCTACTGACCCCGGGCCCTCGGGCAGTGCCCGAGTTTCCAAATGGTCAGTCCGCCCCTGGTTGTAGCTTGTAAATTCCATTTTATTCCTTTGATTCTAGCAGGTAGATGTGGGCATACCACTTAACATGTGTCACTAGAGAAGTATAAGCTAGAGGCCAGATGTGAAAGTTTGAATGGTCACTTCCTTACAAGGCAATATGTGATAAAGTAGGTAGGCGCTACATAAATACAAATACAGATGGGTGAAAAAAGGTGCAATTATTGGGGGACTAGTATCACTACATGCCCCTATATTAGAACCATTGAAATTTAAATGGATTTCTCAATGTGCAAACTATATTCCCATAATTTATACATATATCAAAACAAATGTAACAAATAAATATAAGTCCATGAAATAAAGTGACAGTACTTGCGATTTCTTAAAACTGTGACCCGAACCAAACAAGGAGAGAGTGACTTGAATCTTCACTACATGCCAACAGGAGAAAGTAAAGATTGCTCACTTACCAGACCTTTTGACCCCAATTAAGGTGGTCAGATGCACTTTTGTGGTCATATAGGAGACCATTCCCTCAAGAGATATCTCCCATCCATCAATTCTCCCCTTTTGACAATATGCTAAGGAATAGGGACTCCCAACATGCTCCTCCAATATTTATGATGTTCGGTATGGATTATCCTTACGCAGAAATAGTGCCGGACTACTCAGATAAACCAGACAAGTGAAATACTTTTTAAGTTCAGTATTTTATTAAATGAGCAAAGAGATATATAAAAAAAACAGACAATCTTGCACTCACATGGTATGGTGCCTGAAAACCTGCACCAGTATTTTCAGCCTGTGTGAATCTAAGATGGCTAACATGCGTTCGACGCCTCATTCTCACTAAACCTGGACGTTCCTGGACCCAGAAGTGACATTGTGACTAAATAATAAAATAAATAAATAATAGAATAAAACCATGCAGGCTGAAAAACAGTTTCTGCTTCTTGTTAAATCATGCACTTTTGTATTTGCTTAAATCATTTTCGCAACTGCTTGCTAAAAAAATGGTAACAACTGTATTATTGTTGTATACATTTTTTAAGCTATGTATTATTTTCTTGTCACCCTTAAAACACTTTATATAGACTATGAAAATATAATTTTTACTCAAAACAGAGAAAAATGGGCAACTAATAAAACACCATATGCCTTTTAGATTAGTTTTTTTCTTGTCTAAATCTCACTCAGATCTTTTATTGTATTGGTGTTTAAGGCATTGAGGTTTTTTGCACCATATTTAAATAACCACATACAGTGACTAACATAACCTTCTTTGCAGCGTGGTTTAAAGAATCTATGGATAAAATATTTCAACTGATGGGTGAAAAGTCTCAACTGAGATTGGAGAACACTATGACAATCAGATACAGTTTAAAATGTTGTGTTGGATATAAATAGAAAATTTAAGCCTGAATTTTGCATTCAGTATTTTAGGCATTTAAAAAAAATTACAATCTAAAACATACCAAAACATACATTTCTGTTTTAGTGTAAAAACAATTACTTGAAAAAAAAATGAATACCAACTAAACCCAAAAATGTACTGAAAGGTATTCTAACATAACGGTCTATGTTTTCCCAATTAAAGATTTTTAGTATCTTTAGTTAGGGAAATGTAAAGCAGTATTAAAAAAACAAATGTATTATATTGTAGTTTACCAGTCCTTAAATGTGGTGGCTGCATTATTTTTTTAGGTTCTCCTTCTTTTATTTTTACCTGGCAATCTAGCCACCCACATGGAAGAAAAATATATTTGAAATATATTACTAAACATTCTGCCCAAATATATTGATATATATTTGAATTACTACAATTTTGGCTGTATTGAATACATTTCAATATTATATATATATATATATATATATATACAGTGGGGATCGAAAGTTTGGGCACCCCAGCTAAAAAATTTGTATTAATGTGCATAAAGAAGCCAAGGAAAGATGGAAAAATCTCCAAAAGGCATCAAATTACAGATTAGAAATTCTTATAATATGTCAACAAAAGTTAGATTTTATTTCCATCATTTACACTTTCAAAATAACAGAAAACAAAAAAATGGCGTCTGCAAAAGTTTGGGCACCCTGCAGAATTTATAGCATGCACTGCCCCCTTTGAGAACAATCCATGACACTGGCATGTCTCAGCTTTGCAATCATCGTCTGGGAAGACCAGGTGATGTCAAACTCAAAGGTTTTAAATGCCCAGACTCATCTGACCTTGCCCCAACAATCAGCACCATGGGTTCTTCTAAGCAGTTGTCTAGAAAACTGAAACTGAAAATAGTTGACGCTCACAAAGCTGGAGAAGGCTATAAGAAGATAGCAAAGCGTTTTCAGATGTCAATATCCTCTGTTTGGAATGTAATTAAGAAATGGCAGTCATCAGGAACAGTGGAAGTTAAAGCAAGATCTGGAAGACCAAGAAAAATATCAGACAGAACAGCTCGCAGGATTGTGGGAAAAACAATTCAAAACCCACGTTTGACTGCACGATCCCTCCTGAAAGATCTGGCAGACACTGGAGTTGTGGTACACTATTCCACTATAAAGAGATACTTGTACAAATATGGTCTTCATGGAAGAGTCATCAGAAGAAAACCTCTTCTACGTCCTCACCACACACAAAAATCATCGTTTGAACTTTGCAAATGAACATATAGACAAGCCTGATGCATTTTGGAAACAAGTTCTGTGGACCGATGAGGTTAAAATTGAACTTTTTGGCCGGAATGAGCAAAGGTACGTTTGGAGAAGAAGGGGCACAGAATTTAATGAAAAGAACCTCTGTCCAACTGTTGAGCATGGGGTTGGATCAATCATGCTTTGGGGTTGTGTTGCAGCCAGTGGCACAGGGAACATCTCACGAGTAGAAGGAAAAATGGATTCAATAAAATTTCAGTAAATTTTGGATGGTAACTTGATGCCATCTGTGAAAAAGCTGAAGTTAAAGAGAGGATGGCTTCTACAAATGGATAACGATCCTAAACACACCTCGAAATCCACGGGGATTACATCAAGAGGCGTAAACTAAAGGTTTTGCCATGGCCTTCACAATCTCCTGACCTCAACATAATTGAAAATCTATGGATAGACCTTAAAAGAGCAGTGCGTGACAGACAGCCCAGAAATCTCAAAGAACTGGAAGACTTTTGTAAGGAAGAATGGGCAAAGATACCTCAAACAAGAATTGAAAGACTCTTGGCTGGCTACAAAAAGCGTTTACAAGCTGTGATACTTGCCAAAGGGGGCAGTACAAGATATTAACTCTGCAGGGTGCTCAAACTTTTGCAGACCCCATTTTTTTGTTTTCTGTTATTTTG